ACATAACAATCACCCACACAAGCTCATAGATATTTTGTTGTTGTATCTACCTTGTATTCTAACGCTCTAACTTCTATAGTAAAATAATTAATCTGTAACGCTAAAAAAATAACGTTGTATAGATTCGGGTTAATTCAAAACTTGTCAAAAATGATTTCTTCTCAAAATTTCAAATCGCTAAAACATTAATATTTTATGACTTTTATTACCTTAGTTTAAATCTTAGATAAAAATATTATTAATTGTAATTTAGTAAGTACTTTCATAAAGATACATAAAATAAATTTATGTTAATCTACTTCTTACATTTCATAAAAATATACATAAATAATCGAACAGTAACCGATACTAAAACAACACAAATACACGATGCATCATATTTCCCCCGTCCACGGCATAAACACACGCATGCTCACTGTCTCGCTCGCACCCCCTGCTTTCATGTATATCACCGTCTCGTGCTCCTTGGGGCGTGTACTGGGCCCGCGATTGGTGGAGGGGCGAATGGCGTACTATGCCGACGGCAAACCTACCGACGGCATTTTTCCGACGCTAGGCGTTCGAAAAATGAAAATACGCGGTTACAACGCGTTAGCACAAACGACGCGACGGATTCTTATTTTAAATTTATAGGATAATGTAGTTATGTTATAGTTATCATAGTGAAAACATCACGTTTTTATTGGTAGATTGTGTAAAATGTTATTTTTTTCGCACTGACCTATCCATAATTAGATTCTCGGCTGTAAAACTAAATTAAATATGTAATGTGAATTGTAATGAAGACAAAACTCAAGTTTAGATGTGTCATACCTACCTAGTACTAGCTAAATAAAAATCTATTAACTATATATTTTTATTTACCCAGTAGGCTTATACTGTCCCATTTACCTTTTTATTGTTTTATTTCCATATAAATTATTAAAATAAAATAGGTTGGGATAGATAAATAGATTATTTTACCTAATTTGTTTATGTTTTAACAGTTCCTTACACAAATATCAATAAAAATTCTATTTGTTTCTACATCTATCATCTATCAGGCTAACAGCAATTACTTTTATTATTATATTTATTTACAAAATTATACAAAATAATATCTATCGCCTATTTAACACAAGCTCTCCTTAGCTAGAGACAAGATAGCAACCTGTGAATTGTCCAGGGTTAATATTTTTACAGTGATTTTCCTCGCTGACTGTACCATCACGACTATTATATAGAGCCACATGAAGCGCTCTGATCGATGACTCGGTATAAGGGCGAGTGCACACGACACACACCCAATTACTGCGTTACACGGGCGGGCGGGCGCGACCTGCGTGTGCGCACTCAGATGTAACCACTACACCACTTAATAATGCACAATACAATGTTTACAGCTCAGTTTACATGCTACAATATGTACACCTACTTTGGAGTAGAGATGACTGGATCATTTTAAATGTTGTTTTATGTAAAAGTCAGCACTTGGACGAGCATATTAGTTTATACTTGACGGCCTCTGTGGTCTAGCCGTTTAGCACACCGTCTTAACTATAAAGGTCGCGGGTTCGATTCCTCGCACGGTATAAACATTTGTATTCATGAGTATGATTGTTTGTATTGGTCTGGGTGTATATTATGTATACATTTACAAAAAAAAGTATTCAGGTATTTCTATCAGTTGTTAAGTACCCATAACAAAAGCTCTGCTTACCTTGAAACTAGACGGCGCTGTGTGAAATGTGTAAACAAATTTCTGTTGTTTACACATTTCACATACAACATTTGAAACTGTTATACATACTTACTACATTTTCAAGTGGATACTGGGTTTACACATACATGATAAATCACTTTAAAATGTCTAAATAAAACATCAACTTTATTTTTTAATGCAGACGAATACAAATTAAAAAATAAAAACAAAATTTTCAGAAAATCAGTCTGCTTTTGGTCTAACAAACTGAAAGCTATATATCAATAAGCTACACTTACTTCTATAAAATACCTCTACCATGCTTAATGCTTTCCCTATAGTACAAATAGGTACAATCATATCATATATTATCTATTCGATTATATTAAGACTTAAATTTATCCAATAAGCCTGCCTGCTTACCTCTCTATTAGTCTCCAATATAAAACTTTAGAAAAAAATACGAGTTATCATAATAAATTTCAATTAGTTTGTTAAAAATTAGCCAGGTGCCCCTAGTTATTTTATATGTGAAATAATAGGATGGAAAGGTACAATGGCACTGACTATACTACTTCGTTCGTGCCATATCACTGTGGAATATGGCGTGAACATACAAGACCGATAATATTTAGTTATCTTATTTTAAATTAAGTTAATCTGTGTTTTCAAACTTGTATTTTCCAGTGATCTGCTAACTACTATCTAGAACCTATCTAGAACCTACCTAAGGTTCTCGGTAAATAATTTGATAAATCATACCAAATATGATTAACCAACTAGGTTGAGTCATTTCTTAAATGTACCTTTGAATTCTTCACGATTTAACTTAGAATCATTTGAATATCGTACCATCTTAATAATAAAGAAGATAAATCCTATACTTTTTATTTTAGCTGTATAATTCAAAGAAAAAATATAAGTATGTCCTACATAATATTTTATTAACTTAGATACTAGTAGACTTTGTCGGCGAAATCTTATTGTTGTATATATGGTTATGGAATTTTAACTTAACCCAATATATACCATGAACGAAGGTTCACAACCTTAGAAGACCGTTCTCCCTACTTATAGTAAAGAGTATAAGTAGGAGAAGAGAAGTAAGGAAAACTGTCTTCTAAGGTCGTCATTTCAGAACCATTACAAATAGAAGAGAGAACGACGACAGCAGAGAACTTGAATTTTTCTTCGAATGGATCTCCCCTATTATACTATTGAGACTGACATACTTGTCTGAAATACTGTCCAATAATCTGGAGTAAGGGAAATTTCTATATAAAATTATGTATAATACCTATGTAATATTATATAATATTTGATAAAGGTATAGATGCTACAGATACTACCAGGAAGATCATAACCTATGTATATAACGTCATACTACGACTAATAGAAGCGGAACTGTAAAGAATAATGTTGCAAAAACAGGAAAACTGTGCCGCAGACGAAGTTGCACTAACTCAAGGCGTACTTTATCTGTAGATATTATTTGATATACATTAAATATTTCTAATCATTAAAATTCTATCCAGCAACATTGGGCTATCGACGCAATGCAAACGATTTCTTAAATTATTATCTGTCTGTCTGTCTCGATATATGTACACGCCTATAAAGTCGCAGACACAGCTAGTAAAATAATACATTTGATCCGAATTTTTATTTGCTACACCTGACCGTAGTCAGAAATAATAAAAAATGATACTTTTTATTAACAACATTTTTTATTTTAATTTCATACGCATTCGGAGTGACTGTGACTGTGATTTTGAAAATCCGATCTTAAAATAAACAAGCGTTGGACGATTTTAATAACGTCACAGAAGCTACATTAAAATATAGTATTCTGTAGTTGATTTTCCATTTGTTTCCATAAAGATATTTGAAGAGATCGGGGACAAAAATCACACCTCGCTAAGAGCATTACGGAGAACGTTTATAATCGGCTAAATATCGAATTGTTCCAACCATCATATCATATCCATTGTTTGGAAGCTTTAAACCTTTGGAACCCTCGAGAATTGGTTTCGAGAGTTTTAAGCCTACCGCCTTCGGAAAAACTCACGTAAAACACGCTATTTTCGTTTCTAAACACAACGCAGTTGAGCTGAAATTGGATTGGAGTTTTATCTAAAATAATTCCTGAAAAGTGAAAGCTTTCCTACGCAAGGTATTTAGGTTTAAACTCCTATTGAAAGAGGTGAAAGTTTGGGGATAGTATTGGTATGGGAGTGTGGACTTTATTGTTGTTGTATAAGGTGTAATTTGGGGTGACGGTTACGGGGGCTCGTAGAGGAGTGTTGAGAAGATTGTGCAGTAACGAGTCTACACACAGAGTGTAATTGTATCGGGGATCAGGATCGACCCCTACTGACTAGTGTTGTGACATACACAATTTCGCTCGATGTTCTTACAAACGATTTTGATTCTTGAAGTCATGTATTTATTATTCATGTTCATATTATTCATTCACTCATCTACCTCTTTTTATATTATACCTAATTTACTTATTTACCTTCTTTATACAATATTATAAATAGTTACTAGAGTATTTAATGTTTAGTTTAGCAAATCAACAAAATATTTGGCAATTAAATAAAATTAAGTATGTAATAAAAAGAATAACCGAAATCCGTACAGTTTTAGAAAATCTTGTGTAACATGATGTAAATTCTACATACACAAATATTTACCATGTTAAGCAGATGGCAGTTGTGTTATTTAAATTCTTCTTTTTTCACAACAGTTAAGTTAAGATAAGTTTAAGTTAATTAGTTTAGTTTAATAAATCGCTTTAAGATATTAAAACCGTATTACCTAGTTATATGTTAAAACAATACGAGTAATTTCATTTATAACAATAATAAGTTTTAATTTTACCATACAAAGATAAATGTCATTAATTAATATTGGCAATATTCAAAGTAATTATACTTATATACTTAATTAAAGTGACTATATTAATTACATAGACTATATTTTGGCGGAGCATCAGCGGAGGATGATTAGATATACAAAATGGCGATTTAGTTAGCCCATCGTGGCAAACGCACCAGTAATAAACCACGATAGTTTCCATATAGAACCGCATGAATGTCGTCCTGACATAATACAACTATTCCCCATTACGAACAACCCCCCCACATTTCAAAAAGGCTACGGTAATCCCACTTATCCTCAACCATGCGACCTTTATGCTAATTTCCTACTGTATTGTTGTTAAAAAATACAGTCAGGCTATAAAAATAATGTTATGTTTTCAGAGGTATGGAAATTAAATAAGTTAGTATTATCTAATCCTTACTTTAACATTAATATGCTAGGATCTTGTGATGGTAGCGCAATTAAATTATTAGAATTTTTGGAACATATGAATCTTCGCCAATATGTAACGAAACCAACTCATTTTACTGATCATTCGAAGACTTTACTTGACGTAATATGCAGCAGCAGTAGGGTTATGAACGTTATAATTGACTATGTGCCAGATCTTAGTAGCCATGCCTTTATTTCTTGTGAATTGAATGTAAGGAAACCTAAACCAGTGCCTCGATGGATAACCTACAGGCCTCTCGGTGATATTGACATCGACGTTTTCAATGAACATGTAAACTGCATACCATGGGAACTATTGATGAATGGCAATATTAATGAGTCAGTCGTTGTTTTTAACATGCTTATTAGTGCCTTATTTGATATTCATGCGCCTGTAAAGACATTGTATTTAAAGGACCGGAGTTACCCATGGATAACACAAACTATTAAAGATATGATGAGATTGAGAGATAAAGCTCAAAAAGTCATCGTACGAAATTGGAGGTCGATAAAGAGTACTATAAACAACTTAAAAGTTTAGTTAATGTTGCCTTGTATAACGAAAAAAGAGCGTATTATAGATATTACATAAATAAGAACATGAATGATCCACGTAACCTCTGGAGGAACGTAAAACGTAATATTGTTGATTTTAAAAAGGATTGCTCCGATTTACCACAACACCTTGGTGACGCTGATCTCATTAATGATCATTTTCTTGGTGTCCCTGGCAATGACAGTATTAGTATATCTCAATTAATGTATTTTTATTATCATAGATTCTGCCCTGCGGTATTCAGCTTGAAAGAGATAAATGAATCAGTTGTATTAAAAATAATAAATAGTATTAAAACTAACGCACAAGGAGCAGATGGTATAACTTTAAAAATGATACTTTTGACATTGCCAAGAACATTGGGTGTGATTACTCATATTGTTAATACATCGCTGATTAGTGGCATTTTTCCAGATCTATGGAAAGAAGCTATAGTAAAACCTCTTCCAAAAGTCAGTCAACCCACTGAATTAAAAGATCTACGACCAATTAGCATTCTACCATTTCTATCAAAAATTATAGAGAAAGCAGTATGTATGCAGTTAAGAGGATATCTTAATATAAATAACATTTTACCTCAGAAACAGTCAGGTTTCCGAGCTGGTATACCTCTACTGCGCTTTTGAATGTGGTTGATGACATACTGGCCGGCCAGGACGTCGGACTAGGAGCAATTCTGGTGTTGCTTGATTATTCCCGCGCATTTGATACTTTAAATACTAAACTACTTATGGCGAAACTAACATATTACGGGTTTGATGATATTGCACTGAAGTGGTTCTATAGTTATTTATCAGATCGTTCTCAGAGGGTGGAAGTGACTAATCTCAATGGTATAAGGAATGTATCTGCCGCTGCTGTTATGAATAGAGGAGTTCCCCAAGGCTCTATTTTAGGACCTCTCCTATTTATTGTTTATACTGCTGACTTACCTGGATGCATATTAGATACTGAATTTCATTTATATGCTGACGATCTCCAGGTTTACAAATCATTCATACCCACTGAAACCGAGACAGCTGTGCGTAAAATTAACCAAGAATTGGACCGTATTGCAGAGTGGTCGGAAAAAAACGGTCTAGTTTTAAATCCGTCCAAAATTAAATTCATTGTTCTTGGATCGAAAAAACAAATAGATGTAATTAATAGTTACGGCCCCGTGGTTACTATAAAAAATGCTAATATTCAGCAAGTATCAGAGGCTAGAAATTTGGGTGTATTGATGGACAGCAATCTGATTTGAGAAACACGCAAATAATATTGTTAAGCAATGTTATTACAGATTGAGGGTATTATATAAGGTTAGACAGTATTTATCCGTGGACATGCGAATTTATCTATGCGAATCCTTGATTGTATCCAAGTTGAATTATGCGGACACAGTCATAGGTGGTTGTCTTTTAGCTCGCACAAAAAAGATTATACAGCGCGTTCAAAATTCTTGTGCAAGATTTTGTTTTCCGATACCTCGCAGAGCCCACGTATCACCATATTTAAATAGTAAAGACCTTATAGTATGGAAACACGGCGTAAACTACACTTTGCCAGCTTACTATTTGAAGTTGTAAAAAAAAAGATTCCCGAATATCTTTACGAAAAAATGAATTTCAGTAGTCGTCATTCACGCGGCGTTCATTTGATGTGCCCCTCACATAGAACGGCAGCGTTTCGTGGTAGTTTTCGCTATTCTGCTACGAAGTGCTGGAATAATATACCTCCTCCTATAAAAGATTCTTTAACTGTGCAGATTTTTAAAAATAAATTTAAAAAAATACTCCTCCTCACTCAGAAATCTGTGCCGTGATGTGTCTGCACTCCAAGAGCGGGGTAATGCAGGGTAATACTAGTGTCACCAGAATTTATGATTATGTTTATTTTGTTTATGTTTGATTTTTATTTATATATGGTAGTATGTCGTAAATGTTTGCTTTGTGTTGTCCGCCTGGATTTATGTATGTATGTATAGAGAAAGCAGTATGTATGCAGTTAAGAGGATATCTTAATATAAATAACATTTTACCTCAGAAACAGTCAGGTTTCCGAGCTGGTAGGAGTACCTCTACTGCGCTTTTGAATGTGGTTGATGACATACTGGCCGGCCAGGACGTCGGACTAGGAGCAATTCTGGTGTTGCTTGATTATTCCCGCGCATTTGATACTTTAAATACTAAACTACTTATGGCGAAATTAACATATTACGGGTTTGATGATATTGCACTGAAGTGGTTCTATAGTTATTTATCAGATCGTTCTCAGAGGGTGGAAGTGACTAATCTCAATGGTATAAGGAATGTATCTGCCGCTGCTGTTATGAATAGAGGAGTTCCCCAAGGCTCTATTTTAGGACCTCTCCTATTTATTCTTTATACTGCTGACTTACCTGGATGCATATTAGATACTGAATTTCATTTATATGCTGACGATCTCCAGGTTTACAAATCATTCATACCCACTGAAACCGAGACAGCTGTGCGTAAAATTAACCAAGAATTGGACCGTATTGCAGAGTGGTCGGAAAAAAACGGTCTAGTTTTAAATCCGTCCAAAATTAAATTCATTGTTCTTGGATCGAAAAAACAAATAGATGTAATTAATAGTTACGGCCCCGTGGTTACTATAAAAAATGCTAATATTCAGCAAGTATCAGAGGCTAGAAATTTGGGTGTATTGATGGACAGCAATCTGAGATTTGAGAAACACGCAAATAATATTGTTAAGCAATGTTATTACAGATTGAGGGTATTATATAAGGTTAGACAGTATTTATCCGTGGACATGCGAATTTATCTATGCGAATCCTTGATTGTATCCAAGTTGAATTATGCGGACACAGTCATAGGTGGTTGTCTTTTAGCTCGCACAAAAAAGATTATACAGCGCGTTCAAAATTCTTGTGCAAGATTTTGTTTTCCGATACCTCGCAGAGCCCACGTATCACCATATTTAAATAGTAAAGACCTTATGAGTATGGAAACACGGCGTAAACTACACTTTGCCAGCTTACTATTTGAAGTTGTAAAAAAAGATTCCCGAATATCTTTACGAAAAAATGAATTTCAGTAGTCGTCATTCACGCGGCGTTCATTTGATGTGCCCCTCACATAGAACGGCAGCGTTTCGTGGTAGTTTTCGCTATTCTGCTACGAAGTGCTGGAATAATATACCTTCTCCTATAAAAGATTCTTTAACTGTGCAGATTTTTAAAAATAAATTTAAAAAAATACTCCTCCTCACTCAGAAATCTGTGCCGTGATGTGTCTGCACTCCAAGAGCGGGGTAATATAATATATCACCAGAATTTATGATTATGTTTATTTTGTTTATGTTTGATTTTTATTTATATATGGTAGTATGTCGTAAATGTTTGCTTTGTGTTGTCCGCCTGGATTTATGTATGTATGTGTATTATTATTATTATTTTATTATATTTATTGTATATAAGGTGTCCGCTGAAAACCAGCGTCGTGGCACCCCGTCACGACATATGCTGAGCGGAGACCTAGTTGGTACTCTAATTATTAATATAAATGTAAATTTAATTTTAAAAATTATTTTCAGTGTACCAAATAAACAATTTTCTTTCTTTCTTTCTTACTAATGTTATAAATGCGAAAGTAACTCTGTCTATCTGTCTGTCACGCTTTGACACCAAAACTATTGAACCGATATAAATGAAATTTGGCACACAGATAGTCTAGATGCTGAGAAAGTACATAGGCTACTTTTTGAAGCCAAAAATGGGTTGTTAGGGGTTGAAAGAGGAGATTAAAGATTGTATGGAGGTATCGTCGTTAGAAGCTTGAAACTTATTTTTTGAGCTGTATATTAAATATACCTAAGTAATTATGACATTCAAATTTTGTAAAACAAAAACCCTTAAGGGCGTTAAATAAAATAGGGGATGAAAATTTGTTGCATCAATTTTGTAGCTAGAACGATGACATTGTTTTCTTTAACTGTTTTGGGTGACATTATGAAATATTTTTTGGCCAAAGTGACTATTTCACGCGGACGAAGTCGCGGGCACAGCTAGTATTATATGTACAATAATGATTTTTCATCATTTCAATAAATAAAAAACTGTTCCAAATTTATCGTCTCTAAAGCTCAAAGTCCCTTGGTTTAAAGTTTTAATCGACAACTTACCATCTAAATTACAGTCGTCACATCACTATTATTACAAGGGGGTCGTCGGTCGCACCCCGCGGTAAGCCAAGAAGGGCGAACGGGCGCCTATTTATTGTTGTGTCCTTTTATTTTTATTTGTTTCCATCCATTCTTATAATTGTTATTTAATGATCAATATGGTTATTTGGAAATAGAATATGACTATTATAATTATAATATCTTCTTTCTTTAAGTTAAATCATGTGACTCTATTAAATCCAAATAATATACAACATAATTTTGTTTACACATTTCACACAGCGCCATCTAGTTCCAAGGTAAGCAGAGCTTCTGTGATGGATTCTAGACAACTGATACAAATACATAGATACATTTTTTGTAAATGCATACTTGTATACAAAATGGAAACACCCAGACCGATAAATGTATAATACAAATGTTTGTACGTTGCAAGATCGAATCGCGATCATCGGGAGAGATTGGTGTAAATTCTAAGTGATAAGGGTGGGCATATCCAGAAATAATATATATCGCAAAACAAAGTTTGACGTCTCGGCTAGTATATATACAAAACAACAACTTTATCTTAGTCATCACTTTAGTTACAATCATAGGTATATCCAATAGACTCTTAAAAATAATGAGTACTGAACTTCCCCAACTGTATATTTTATTTATAAATAACTAGCTATACGTCCAAGTTTCGCATAGGTGTACATGTATTGTACATATTAACCTTCTTCTTGAGTCACTATATCTATTGCTATAACCTGTATTCAAATCCGTCGCATAGTTCTTTTAGAAGAAGGGACTTCATTTTAACTATATAAAGATACATGTCATTACTTTTAGTTAGT